CTTTCTCATTCTTTTTCTTCCTTCCTTCCTTCTCCTTCCTTCCTTCCTTCCTTCCCCTTCCTTCCTTCCTTCCTTCCTTCCTTCCTTCCTTTTTCTTTCTTACTTTCTTTCTTTCTTTCTTTCTTTCTTTCCTTCTTTCCTTCTTTCTTTCCTTCTTTCTTCCTTTTCCCTTTCCTTTTCCTTTTCCTTTTCCTTTTTCTTGTACCAGCTTCCTTTTATAGCCCTACTTCATTGGCTAGATGAGCTTGCTTTCTTAGATTGACTCATTGGTGTTGCCTCTGATTCTGCAACTCCTCATTTTTTTTTTTTTTAATTTTTTTTTCAATGTTTATTTATTTTTGGGACAGAGAGAGACAGAGCATGAACGGGCGAGGGGCAGAGAGAGAGGGAGACACAGAATCGGAAACAGGCTCCAGGCTCTGAGCCATCAGCCCAGAGCCCGATGCGGGGCTCGAACTCACGGACCGCGAGATCGTGACCTGGCTGAAGTCGGACGCTTAACCGACTGCGCCAGCCAGGCGCCCCTGCAACTCCTCATTTTATATTTTTACTTCTGCAGGTCTTTCCACAACTGTTCAGGGTCTGATTTCTATGGTTGAATCCTTATCCCATAATGCACAGTGGCTCTGCTTTCTAAACTGAACTCTGACTAATAGAATTCAACCTAAGTAAAAACTAACAACCCTGATATATTCACAGAAGTTTTTTTAAAGAACTGAGATTTTGATTTATTACTAAATTCTACTTCTTGGGGCACCTGGGTGGGTCAGTTGGTTAGGCATCCGACTCTTGGTTTTGGCTCAGGTCATGATCTCACAATTTGTGGGTTCAAGTCCCACATCAGGTTCCATGCTCACAGTGCAGGGCCTGCTTGGGATTCTTTCTCTTCCTCTCTCTCTCTCTCTCTCTCTCTCTCTCTCTCTGCCCCTCCCGCTCTCTATGTCTTTCAATCTCTTTCTCTCTCAAATAAGTAAACTTAAAAAAAATACTAAATTCTCCTCCTCTTAGCTACTTCATTAATTTCTTTAGCCTTATTTTGGCTTCTGCTATATTCTTTTCCTAAATTTTTGAGTTGGGAATCTAATTCACTTATTTTTGATAAATGTTTAAAGCTATACATTTTCTTCTAAATGCCATTTAAATATTCTTTATAGATTCAAAAATGTCATATATTTATTATCATGAATTTTAAGAAAATCTATAATTTTGGTTTGTAGTTTGTTTTTTAGCCACCAGAGTTTAAGAGAAGATATTTAAAATATTTAAATTTCCATGTGCAAAAACCTTTAAAAAATGCCATTATTTTCTAGTTTTGTTGCATTTGATCATAGAGTGATTGTAACATTCCTACTTTATGGAACTTAAACCTGTTGTTTTCTCGACCAAAAATCTACATGGTTCGTATCCTTTTTATTTTTTTTTTAATTTTTTCCAGCTTTATTGCGATATAATTAACATATACATTTAAGGTGTACAGCATGTTGATTTGGTGCATTTATATATTGTAAAACGATTACCACTGTAGAGTTAGCTAACATCTCCATCACTTCATCCAATTAGCATTTCTTTTTTGTGGCGAAAACATTTAAGATCTATTCTCTTAGCAACCTTCAAGTATGTAAAACAGTATGGTTAACTATAATTACCATACTTTACGTTAGATCTACAAAACATATTCATCTTGTAACTGAAAGTCTGTACCCTTTTACCAACATCTCCCCATTTCCCCACTCTCAAGCTTCTGGTAACCACCATTCTACTCTCTGTTTTTATATGTTCAGCTTTTCTAGATTTCACATGTAAATTACTCTCTGTTTGACTTATTTCACTTAGCATAATGTTTTCATGTTATTGCAAATGGCAGAATTTCCTTCTTTCTCATGACTGAATGATATTCCACTGTATGTAATACCACATCTTCATCCATTCATCTGTTGACTGACACTTTGGTTCTTTCCATATCTTGGCTATTGTGAATAATGCTACCTTGAACAGTGCAGATATCTCTTCAAGATCTTGATTTCATTTCTTTTGGGTATATTCTCAGAGGTAGGATTGCTGGATCATATGTGGTAGTTCTATTTTTGATTTCCTGAGGAGCCGCCGTCCTGTTTTCCAAGTGACTGAACCAATTACATTCCCACCAGAGGTGTGCTAGGGCTCCCTTTTCTCTGCATCCTAGGCAACACTTGATATCTCTTATCTTTTTTTATGATGGCCATTCTAACAGGTGTGAGGTGATCTCCTATTGTGGCTTTGACTAGCTTATCTTTTCAAATTAGTGTTAACTCATTTAAAATTCACTACAAAAAATTGAGTATTTTTATGAAACTGAATATGTTTTATATTTCTCATTACAGATGAGGACATTAAAGTTCAAAATGATAATGTAATATTCTCAGGGTAATATAGTAAAGTCTTCCCCTGTGATGTGAACTCAGGCCTCCAAATCTAATATCCAATGTTCTTTATTACCCCAGCTGTATATAATGTAGTTTCATCAAATTATTTCCTTTTACTTGATGAGTACAAGTCAAGCACAAGGTAGATATTTCAAAATTTCTCAATAGAGAAATACTTAATATTCATCTAAATTTTATTGGTTGTTATTCTGATTATGTAGAGATATTAAAGACTTAATGATCACTTAACATCTTTTATGTATTTAGAATGTGTCATATATCTCTTCACTTTTCATTTCTCTTTTCTTCCCCTACTCTATAATGATTCAAGTGAATATTATAAAATCTAAACTCTCAACCATTCATTGATTCTATTATTCACAGTATGAATTTTTCTCTGAGCAGGGAAACACAGGCCCTATTCTCAAAAATTAGTGGAGGAACTGAGAGATGACATTTGTAATCCCACAAGTCAAATAATCTTATTTTTCTTACCTTTGCTATGGTCCAAGATAAAAGTTAAAAGCCTACTGGCTTCCCTTATCCCACAATATCCATTCCATATACATGAAGCACTTAAGAACAATCATAACATTTTGTGATTCATCTTTAACTGTGGCCAAATTTGAATGTTTTAATAACTCTCACTGCAACTTGAACATCTGTTTATTCCCCAAGCAGCAGCTGGTCTTTTTCATGCCATGTCATTTACTGAATTGATTCCTACCAATACAGACATTATAAATACAAAGGTCCCAAGAATTGTGAGCCTCCTTGACTTAGAAATTAGGCATAGTATTGACATGAGGTCACTCTCAAGCAGTTGTCACTGCTTTCAGGTACTAGTTGAATGTTGCAATATTAATATGTGTGTGGAAAGGATCTTAAAATCATCCAGTTCAACCAACTTGTATTATTTATGAAGAATCAAGGCACCAGATGATTTAGTAAATTATCCAGTCTCACATATGTAGGACAAGATTTAATTCACATTGTCTGAATCCTGGGCTGCCACTATTTCTGCTACACCAATCTAAGTAAGAGCTGTGACACCCATTTTAATATCAGGTATGTGGGGCCAGAAACAAATCTAAAAGTTTCTGGAATGGATAAAGTCAGAAGAACAATGTGGAGTTAAGGAAAGAGCACCCAAATTTCAGGGGGGAAGAAGCCAATAAATATGGGTAATTGCGTGAATAAATAGGATTTAGTCTTAGAACAATTCATTTAAAATGTGTACTTCTAGCAGAGTTTTGAGAAAGAAAAAAGCTTAGTTTAGTGGCAAGAATAAAGGAGTTTGGAGTTTGTTGTGAATTTTAAGTACATATCTTCTCAATTGGCTTTCAATGCAGTTTGTAAAGCCTTCTTGGATCTCAGTGAGAGCTAGATAACCTAAGAAGTCTAGTTTTAACTTTTAAGGCATATGGTATTACCTAACGTGTAGGTTCACCATCACCATCTTCTGTCTGTACTTAAATCTGTCTATTTGTTCCAAGTGAACTCCTGAAACAGGAAGAGTTTTCTGCTTCAAACTGCTTCAGTGAAAGTCTATAAAAGCTAGCAGTTAAAAAATATTTAGGTAGCATGCCACTGAACAGTCTTTCTGTTTAAAATATACATGGCGGGGGGGCACTTGGGTGGTTCAGTCGGTTAAGTGTCTGACTTTGGCTCAGATCATGGTGTTGCAGTTGGCAAGTTTAAGCCCTGCATTAGGCTCTCTGCTGTCAGTGTGGAGCCTGCTTTGGATCCTCTGTCCTTCTCTCTCTGCCCTTCCCCCACTTGTGCTCTTTCTTGTACTCTCTCTCTCTCTCAAAAATAAAATAAACATTAAAAAATAAATGAATAATAAAGTATACTAGGAAATTTATAAAACCTTTACACTCTAGCTACATCATGTTCACCAGCCTTTGAAAAATGCCTGGCCTTGGGTAGTGTAGAAAACAAATGTTATTCATGTCTGCATGACTGAAATGAAGAACTAAAAATGAGAGGCTATTTCATTTTGATTCTGGACAATCTCCATCTGAAAACTGGAATGGATTATGTTTCTCTGTAGCTCTTTCCCCTCCTTATGTTCTATTCCTTTATCCTACCCACTGTAAGAGACAGTGCCCACATTCCTTTCCACTTGTGTGTTCCCACTTACCATCTATCATGATTCTCAAACTTTGTCCACTCCAGTCCTTCAGTCATCATGATGTTTTGAAAAAGGTTACCATTCTTTCCCTTCAAAACTTTTTGGAAGTTGTGAAAATTTTTTTAAGTACTTCACAACTGAGGAGTAAATCTTCAAATAGCTGATTTTTTATTTCCTGTTATGAAGACTTATATCTTATTTTTAAGCAAATTTCTAAGTCATAAGATTTAATCTTGAACTGAATCAATTAAGATACCTGGAAAGACCATGGTGAAGTATTTGACCACTGTGATCAGGGAAGTGATAAAACAGGGAACTATCTGGTAGTGGGATGCCACTAAATTATTTCATGCCAAAACAAAACAAAAACAAAAACACCTTACTTTTAATTTGATCACTGTATTTTTTCCTAGTTATCCTCCCATCTGGAAATGTCAGAATCCTTCCAGAAATCAGAGTGAATGGCCTGGAATAATCAGTCAGTGGTAACTGAATTCATACTACAGGGTCTCTCCGGTTCTTGGGAACTCCAGATCTTCTATTTCCTGTTTTTCTTCATAGTCTATGCAGCCACTGTACTGGGGAACCTCCTTATTGTGCTCACCATCATGTCAGAGCCACGCCTTCACTCCCCCATGTACTTTTTGCTGGGCAATCTCTCCTTCATTGACATGTCCCTGGCCTCATTTGCCACCCCCAAAATGATTGCAGATTTCCTCAGTGAGCACAAAGCCATCTCTTTTGAAGGCTGCATCACTCAGATATTTTTCCTGCATCTGTTAGGGGGTGCTGAGATTGTACTGCTGATAATCCATGTCTTTTGATAGGTACGTGGCTATATGTAAACCTCTAAGTTATTTAACCATTATGAGCCGAAGAATGTGTGTTGGGCTCGTATCACTTTCCTGGATTGTTGGCATCTTCCATGCTATGAGTCAGTTAGCATTTACTGTGAATCTGCCCTTCTGTGGACCCAATGAAGTGGACAGCTTCTTCTGCGACCTCCCCTTGGTAATTAAACTCGCCTGTGTAGACACATACATTCTGGGAGTATTCATGATCTCAACCAGTGGCATGATTGCCCTGGTGTGTTTCATCCTTTTGGTGATCTCCTATACTATCATCCTGGTCACTGTGCAGAAACATTCCTCTGGTGGGTCCTCCAAAGCCCTCTCCACTTGCAGTGCCCACTTCACTGTTGTGACCCTTTTCTTTGGCCCATGCATTTTCATCTATGTATGGCCTTTCACAAATTTCCCAATAGACAAAATGCTCTCAGTATTTTATACCATTTTCACTCCCCTCTTGAATCCAGTGATCTATACCCTTAGAAATAAAGACGTCAAGGATTGCATGAGAAAACTTAGCAGCCATATCTTTAAGTCTAGGAAGACTGATCATACCCCCTTGATTTCCTTATACAAAAATGAAATACCTGTTTGGCATTTACCTTCCTCATTCAGTTGGTCAACAAAGTGATGCTACTTCGAGAAACCAGTTAAGTGCCTGGCAGAATTATTTATGTAATCAGTCTTAGCCCTCACTGAGTTCTGTTCATGTTAATTGTTCTTCACACAATGTAACATTTACAACAGGGCATCATCACATCTACACTCAGCATTTTACTGCCCAGAGACCCACTTTTTAGAATATCCAGCTTTTGTCAGATATAAACAATTTATTTGAGTATTCCTCCCCCTGAGTCATTTGCATGTTTTAAGAGTAAATTTGCTTCTAGTCTCTTGTAAGTAGCCTCTAAGCCAACACCCAGTATACTACCCTGTACACTGAAGTAACAATGAAATTATTTATTGCTGACAAAGGTGCTGATGCATGAATTATTTTAGTTCAAAAGTCGGAAAAAAAATTGAAGATTCTTATGAATTAAAAATATGTGGTATTTAATATTTTGAAACCAAAAATAAGAATGTACCTTATTTATATTCTGTCCCTAAGTTCCCTAGAGTGGATTTTCCAATTTTAAAACAGTACAGTTAACTCCAGAAAATTCTGGTAGTCTTATATATTAAAGATTGATATGTAGTATATAGCAAATTCCATCCACACTCCATTCTAGAAGCTGAAACTAGAGACCCAAGGACACTGTAGCTTTTTCATGGTAATGCTAATTAGAGGCAGAATCTAGGTCATTAACCTCCAAAGAGAGAAATATGTTTGTTTTCTAAACAGTAACAAGTTATTTTGGTGCTATGACATTTGTTTTATTGTTTTTATAATCAAAAGATACCTGTAAAGAGTAGTGTCCTAACGGATCTGAACCAGTTTCCCCCCTGGTTAGACACAGTATTTGACTTAAGGGACCTGTGAAACAGTGGTCTTTCAACATATTTGATATACCTAATAACTAAAGTTTTTAGAATATAGAAACCATCTAGAAATATCTATTTATTTTATAGATGATGCAGTTGAGAATCAGGGAACAAAGTAACTTTCTCAAGTTCATACATCTGTATGACAAAGTCTAGCCTAGAACGTGCCTCTCCTCTCTCTCTCCCTCAACTGAACAAGGGGTAGGTTATGTTCAAGAGCATTTGGTCATTGTCATTCTGAGAGTTACACATAGAAGCAATGTCAGTGCATATAAGTGGACTAACTATAACCCTAAAGAATTATCCAGCTTCCTGGCATTGTCAAAGTTTGCATAATATTGTAGTATTGTATTCGTTTGGGCTTAGGTAAAGACAGGTGAATATCTAGAGATGACTGATGGGAAAAATAGATTGTAAAGAGTTGAAACAAAGATAAACCAATCATTAGCTGAATGGATGAACAGATAAATGGAAAAGCAGATAGACGGGAGATGGCTGTATAGCAAAATATAGATAGATACATACATACGTAAGAAATGCTTGTAATCATAAATAAATGAATAAAAACTTTACTATATTGACTCAGTAGTCTGTGTGTTGAATCGGTACAACTGTGAATTGCAACTATCACTTGTTTAAAATTATTTGAAAGGTTATTGAATTTAGTAGAGTTGAAAAGGGATACTCTTAATATTTATTTATTTTTGAGAGACACAGAGTGTGAGTGGGGGAGGGGCAGCCAGGGAGACAGAATCCGAAGCAGGCTCCAAGCTCTGAGCTCTCAGCACAAAGCCCAACATGGGGCTCACACCCATGAACTGCAAGATCATGACCTGAGCAGAAGTCAGATGCTTAACTGACTGAGCTACCCAGGGGCCCTGAATAGGGAAACTCTTAAATACTTCTTGTGATGAAGTACAACTAGTGCAGTTTACTAATGTGTTTAATGGTTACTTGAGAGATCTACCAATGAATTAATATTAGTGAAAAAAGTAATTTAAAAACCTTTTGTTTATTTATGACTCTGGATATTATAAATCTGTTCTCCCACCTTCTCAATTCTGTTAGATCAAGTTTCCAGGTTGTTCATTTTTCATTCTGATCAATAGCATATGATTGGCTGATCAGGGTAAGGAATATTGCATTTTTTTTTCCTGTGTCAGACTATGTATTTTCTGCTCCAGTTTAGCATCTTAACATACACACTAATAGAATTATTGCCAAATAAATATCATGGGTTCCATTATATGGAAATTTACATGTGCTTTAAAATAAAGTTCCAAGTATTAGGAATGCAACATGGTAAATTAACCCCAAAGACAAAATCTAGATGGTTAACATAAGCACCAACCTAAGAAAATTTGAATAAAGGACTCTCCCATTCTGCATTCTAAGCACTCCACCTACAGGGTTCTCTCCCTCCCTGCCTCATATTCTCTACTGACACTCAATTATCTGAGCATGCTCTTTTACCTGGTATTCTCATTACCACAAAGAAGAAGCCTAACACTGAGTCTCAACAGTTTGCTGTAAAGGATAAACCTGACAACTTCAGGAAATAAGCTAACTGTATGATGCCATCTCTTCACCTGGAAGAGTCATTAGCCTAATTGAAACCATGACTACTGTGGTTCGTAGAGCAATTTTTTTTCTTTTCTTTTTTTTATTCTTTAAGTAGATGTCCTTCATTTATCTCTATTGAGCTTATTTTACAAATTGATCTCTTAATTATAGTCTAATAAATGAAACCAGGAATAAATAAATATATATGTATATATATGTCAAAATACTTAATATTGTTCAAAAATTAAATGTACACACATAAAATTGAGTTTGTCTCGGAGTGGATGATCTCAGCAGTGGGCCATCATCCCCAAACTGGGTTCCTGATATCAAAAATCCCTTTAGATATATTTCTCTCCCAGCAAAAAAAAAAATCATTGTTCTGCTCAAAAAACTGTCTCCTGCTCATTTGAGGAGAGAAAAATCAGCAAAGTGGCCTTTCATCTGATGATGTAGCTGAGGGTGTGATGCTTCATTATCAAAAACTTTTTTTCTTGTGTCATTTTTTCTGGTCAGTTATCATTTTGCACCCCCCCCCCATGATTTAGAAGATGATGTTACAATTTTCATTTTTAAAAATTTCAATGGTTTTATGGGGCGCCTGGGTGGCTCAGGCAGTTGAGCATCCAACTTTGGCTCAGGTCAGGATCTCACACTTTGTAAGTTCGAGCCCCATGTCGGGCTCTGTGCTGACAGCTCAGAGCCTGGAGCCTGTTTCAGATTCTGTGTCTCCCTCTCTCTGCCCCTTCCCCGCTCATGCTCTGTCTCTCTCTGTCTCTCAAAAATGAATAAACGTTAAAAAAAAAATTCAAAAAAAATTTCAATGGTTTTAGAACCAAGACATAGTATGATCTTATGACATCCTCCTTGAAGGTTTAACCTAAGCCCCACCTCTTCAAAAGCGGCTCCTCAAATTCTTTTATTAACCTCTACTCTTTTCAGAGCTGATGTTTCCTGCATTATTAATTTTATACATTGATATATATTGTTGCCTAACCGTTTCTTGAGTCTGTCTTTTCTTCTTGTAATTTATAAACATTTTGAGAACGAAACTTTGCCCTTGCTTGCTTTTGTTGTTGTTATTCATTTGTTTGGGTAATTTGTTTTTAGTACCTGCCATAGCATTTGACTCCAGGCACAGTTACAAGTAGTGATTTGGTACAATTTTTAAAGTAATAATGTTTTTCCAAACACCCTTTTGTGTTTTCCTTGTTACTACCCCACCATTCTTTTACTGTGTCATATTAATCACAGAAATGTTCAGATAGAGAGCATTTCAGAGATAAATAGTTGCCCCTATCAAATTCTGTCCCCATCAAATTCTGCCATTAATTATGAGACCGTGTGCAAATCTCTGATCTGACTGAATCATCTGTGACGTGCTTTGGAGTACTTGTTGTGTGTAGGACCTTTGATTGTCAACTCATTTTATCATATGGTAATTCAATTATAAAACTTCCTAAAAGTCAGGAGAAATTGAGGTAGAATGTATAGGGAAAGGGACTCTGCTTTTCTTTTTTTAATAATAACTCCTTATGCTTTTTATTTTGTGTTCATTTCTGCATTTTTTTTTCTTTTTTTAAATATAATTTATTGTCAAATTGGCTAACACCCAGTGTGTAAAGTGTGCTCTTGGTTTTTAGGGTAGAATCTCATGGTTCATCGCTTACAAACAATACCCAGTGCTCATCCTCAATGCCCATCACCCATTTTCCCTCTCCCTGACACCCCCACCCCCATGGGACTCTGCTTTTATACTCTTCAAAATATCCTGGAGACCCAGGGAGGTATGCATCCCATAAATTTTGGTATGTTGTGTTTTCATTTGTCTCAACATATGTGCTAATTTCTGGTTTTATTTCTTTTTTGATACAGTTGTTCAAAAATAAGCTAATTTCTACATATTTGTTAATTTCCCCATTTTATTTTTGTCATTGATCTCTAATTTTTTATTCCACTGTGCTTGGAATAGATACTCGGAATTATTTCAGTCCCCTTAAATTTGTAATGACTTGTTTTGTGACCTAGCATGTGATCTCTTCTGGGGATGTTTCATGCACACTTGAGAAGAATATATAGTCTGCCGCTTTTGGGTGAAATGTTCTGTATGTGTCTGGTAGGTCCATTTGGTCTGTAGTGTTGTTTCCACCTGCTGTTTCCTTATGAGTAGTTAGTCTGGATCATCTGTTCGTTATTGTATGGGGTATTGAAGTCTCCAACCCTATTGTATTGCTATCTTCTTTTTAAAGTTTGTTTATTTTGAGGGGGAAAGAGAAAGAGGGTATGTGAGGAGGAAGGGACAGAGAGAATCCCAGGCAGGCTGCGTACTGACAGCCTGGGGCTCAATCCCACAGACCAGGAGATCATGACCTGATCTGAAATCAAGAGTCAGTCGCTTAAGCGACTGAGCCACTCAGGCACCCCTATTTTATTGCTATCTATTTCTCCCTTAAGATCTGTCAATGTTTGCTATATATGTTTAAGTATTCTCATTTTGTGTACATGTATTTTTCTAATTTTACATCTTCCTGTTGAATTGACTCTTTAGCATTACATAAAGACCTTCTTTGCTTTTGTGACAGTTTT